AACTCCTTGTAGAGCAGTAGCCACACCTGGGGTTAGGAGCGTGCATTTGTTTCACGTACAAATGCTGATCTCCATAGCTTTTTAAGAATGAACTCAATTTTTAAAGAGTTGTACTTAATCCTGAGTGTCATCTCACCCAAATTCTTCTTGCTTTTTAACCTTTGTGACTTCGTGATTAATTTCAGAATTTTTAAGTTGTATATTATTGAATGGCATTAGGAACTTCAGAATAAGAACAAAAGAGCAAGCTGGGATGAGGATGAACAGTGGGTAAATACTGTATGATGGCTTTCAGCATTAGAGAATATAGACAGGAATGTTGGAAAAGGATCAGGATTGTGATCAGAGGAAAGTCTCAAAGTGACCAGGGTCAGTAGGCTCACATGCCGGGAAAATAGGTCGTTTTCTGGAATGCCTGTCTAGCTACCCCTCACTGTGTCCATAGAAATACTGGAAAATGTACATATGTAAAGTCATCCCACAGGCCACCAGATAGATGTGGATTATCTTCTGGGATTGATCCATCTTGGGACAAAGGGTAAGAGGAAATTGGTAGATGTATACATCAGTTATAATTAGAAGAGACTTTAGAGATCATTTACTCCAGCTCATCCTTCTACCAATGAGATAACTGGGGACACTAGAGGAGAAATGGTGGGAGGTGAGTGTACCTTGTTGGATGGATAGGCCAGTGGAGAGGGTCAGGTTATAGTAGGTGAAAAAGAAGGGTCTTACCACTCGACACAATTTCTCTGAAGACGGTAGGATATCATGAAGTTTGCACATTCAGGGAGGCTATTGTCCCACATCTAATGCTAGTAGTGGGAGGAGCCCTGGTGGCACCATGGGTAAGCGCTCAGCTGCTTACCAAAGGTCAGCGGTTCGAACCCACCAGCTGCTCCTCGGGAGAAAGATGTGGCAGTCCGTTTCTGTAAAGATTTTACAACCTTGGAAGCCCTATGGGGCAGTTCTATTCTGTCCTACAGGGGCACTATGAGTCAGAATTGACTCAATGGTAAGGGTTTTTTTGGGTTTAATGCTGGTAGTTACAACTTTCCCTTAGAGATTCATCTCCTGGGCTGCCATCTTTAGCAGGCTGAGTATGTGGTGGCTCTTCTGGTTCCTGCACAAAGTATCGCGTATCTTGTGTCTTTCTTCCTTTCTCTGCACTACATCTTCCAAACACTTTATGTTATTGGTCCAAAATCTCTTTAAAATCCATGGTCCCTCTGACCAGAATTTTGTTTATGACAGCAGCACTGCTCATGAAAATACATTAGTTTCTCATTGAACATATTATTCATGAATCTACATACATATTTTAAAAGGCTATTTATATTCAGGTTATATTACCTCTGATGGCAAAGAATTCTATGAAATTCTGCCCTCTATGAGAAGAAACTTATCACTTAATTCTCTCTCTTTTCCAGGAATGTATAAATTAGGACAGAGGTAAATTCAGGCTAGAAGGAATTAAGAAAAAAACAAACAAACAAACAAATATATTGCATTGCTTACCTAACAGTTCTCTCAAATAGGAGATCTATACTAAGATATCTCAATAGAAAACCTAAGCTTAGCATTAG